GAGAGAGAGAGAGAGAGAGAGAGAGAAAGAGAGAGAGAGAGAGAGGGCGGAAAGAAGGAAGGGAACAGCAAACCGACTCACCCGGTTGGACGAAGACATGAGAGCATCGTCCACTCCAAGGCCTATCCCACTATCCTCTATGGTCCACACATCCGGGGATGGCGTCATCCCAGCTGACGTCGATGACGTCACATCCACGCCCGGGCTCGAAGGATAATCCGATTTTGAATCTGTGGTGATCTTCACCTTTAGCCTGGAAGGGTAGGAAGCATCCTCCTTAACACTATCTGTTGCCTCACAGTTAGCATTCATCTCCGGAAGGGAAGAATCCAAACGGACATCAACGTGGCCATTCTGTGTACCGGATTTGACAGTAACGTCATCGGCACCCTCACCGTAACCATCACCGTTATCGTTGACAGCCGTGTCGGCTTTGGTATCGGTCGAGGTTACTTGAAGAGACAAAAGTTCCTCGCCGTCGCTGAGGTCAAGGTCGGAGGGGTTGCCTTCTGACCCGCTAATAGTGTCAAGGTCGTCCAGCAAACTGCTGAAGGCTTCCTCCATGGTGGCAGGAGGTTTGCGACTGTTTATGTCCGACAGACGGCGCTGAGGAGAGCTTGGTGACGTGTCAGGCACGGAAGGAGGGTTGAGCGCCGCCGAAATTGGTCGGACGGGAACAGAGAAGCGTTTATGCCTCTCTTCTAAAGATATCGTCTTGAAAGATCTCACCTCTCCCAACTTATCCCCCGCTTCTGAAGCGATTTCAGTCTTTAAAACTATGCCGGCTTTTGAGATGTTGTTCTCGACTTTCTCCGGCTCGCCGTGTAGATCTACGGAGTTTACGCTATCCTCCTTTTCTGAAAACGTTTCAATTTTGACAGCCTCTTCAGCGTCTTCTTTATGCTGTTGTTTATCTCCCTGAGCTACAAAAGCAGTGACACCGACTCGCCTCTGACGTACCCCCTGGCGTCCAGTCTCGGACACGTCACTCTTGTGTTCATCTATCTTCACGAGAGGAGAAGGTTTCACATTCTGCCTGTATTTCTCTGGCAAGGCAGAATCTGTTCGGCTTCGCTCAAGAGTTCTCCCCCTTCTCAAACCAGATTTCTCACTGGACTCGTTTCTAGGAGAAGGAGGAGGAGGAGACTCAGTCAATCCAGATTTTGAATCGACGTCTTTTCTCGTCTCTTGAACATCGGGATTAAGTTTTGCTGAGAATGAGGTTTCTTCCCTCACTTCTGGTTTCGGCTGTTCTGCTTCTGTTCTTTTCTCTTTCGCATTCGAAGAGAGTAAAGTGTCTCTGGAAGAGAATTTAGGTGTTCTTATCACCGGACGATGCTCAGATAATATTGCTCCTTGCTTTGAATCAGACTTCTGTTCAGATAGTTCTTTTTCTTCTTCTTTGGAGACCGTTGGGATGTCTCGTTTCTCCCGACCCACCACGCAAAAGGATAAGCTTTTCTCCCCCCTAGGTAGAGCGTTCCTGACTTTAGAGTGCAAGCTCTGGGATCGCCTCACGCCGGTAGTGTTACTGGAACTCTTATCGTCCTCCTTAGTTACCTCATCACTGATCTGAGAGAACTTGGCAGTTAGAGCGCTCACCGCAGACTTGGACACCTGTGGTTTGAGACCCCGTTCGAGTTTTTCGAAATGGGAAAGTTCAAATGAGGAGGTTTTAGCCGACTTAGGCTTTTGGTCACGGGAGGTGCTCACTTGTGTAACGCTCACGTCGTCTGTGCTGTTTCGACGTCCGTCCTGAGATCTGTTTTCAGATTCTGCGAGATCTTCTTTCTGAACCAGGGCAGTGTCTCCGCTGACTTGATTCTGACTATGGTCAGGAGATTTTTGCTCCTCTCCAAAGACGTTTTTTCCAGGTGAACGGTTCTTAGGCACTGAATCCTCTACTGACTTTACCGATCCTCTTCGATTTTGCAACACTGGGATTCTCGATTCGGGAGCCTGGCTTCGATTCTTTGTGGACTTCCCAGGACTAGAAGAGGAGTTTGCAACAGTGGCATCAGCGACCTTGACACCTGTTGAACCCAAGGTCACAGGTGAGCGAGAGGGTTCGGGACTCACTGACTTCTCCTTGGCGTAGCGAGGGCTCAGATCGGACGAGAGATCCACAGAGCTCAAGATTTGCCTCCGTGCTTCTCGGTAACGGTCAGATCCTCTCTCCGAGTCTCGGCGCCCGCCGCCATGACGCTCTTCGGACGCGGTTCGACTACTCGACAGGGGTTCGGGGAATCGGAATACCGAGGACTTGTCAGATTTATCTGCGGCTGAGGAGGGAGGTTGAGTCGTTTCGTGAGCGAGACGTTGCGAGCTTGACGAATCCGAGAAGTCACCGGTGGCTGCTGGGCTGTGACCAAATGCTGTCAGACCTGGAGAAGTTTTGTCGTCGGCTGAGAAACTCCCCAAACGTCTGGAGTTGAGATGTGCTTTGACCTGGTCGAGAACGGACGTGACGTTATCAGGCGATTTGATATCATCCTTGTCAACGACCAAAGTTGGAGGTTCCTTGACTTCTCTGCTCGGTTTTGTTTCTACTAAACCTCGAGAAAACGATGTGCTGTTGAGGGAACGACTGTCGCTATTGCTTTCGTTATGACCAGAGGTGTTGTTGTTGTTATTCTCTAAATCATTTCTTTTATACAACCCAGGGCTGGAGACGTTAAGAGATGTCCTTACACCTTCTGCAGTCGTAGGTAATGAAGAAACTGGAGATAGGATTTGTGAAGATGGTCTAGAAGGCTCAACTTGGTCCTTGTTCAGACTGGGTTCACCACCTCGCTGTTTGTTTTTGTAATTTTTCAGAAATTCGCTGCTGTATTTCCTCCGTCGCTGCTCACTCTCAAGTGGTTTGGAGATTGGGAGAGTTCTACCCCCGTCTTTGTTCTCGCTGTCGTTATAACTGCTATTGTCGTTATTGTTGTTGTATTTGTTATTACTGCTACTATAGTCACCGATGTTGTTGTTAGTAACAGAAGAACCGAAGCTCAGAGAGGTGGTATTGGTGGGTACATCCGATGTTGCATGGACCGTGGAGCTGCTTCGACTGACGCCCACTGGCTGTTGTTGTTGCTGTTGCTGTCTTGGTTGTAGCTGAAGAGAAGGGCTGTCCACAGAATGTCGGTCTTTGAGGTCCGTGGCTCCCTTAGACTGCTTCAGTTGCTCTGTTTAAACAAGACGAACATTTTACAGTTTAAACGAGGTGCCAAAGAGAACGATTTGTGCCTTTTGTTTACTGTGTTTGTTCTTTGAGAATATAGTTGTGGTTGTTGCTATTGTTGCCGTTGTTTGCATTTTTCTTGGTCTTTATTTTGTCTTTGTTGGTGCTGTTGTTGTTGTTGTTGTTGTTGTTGTTGCTGTTGTTGTTGTTGTTGCTGTTGTTGTTGTTGTTGTTGATGATGATGATGATGATGATGATGATGATGATGATGATGATGATCAACTTACTATTACTGATATTGTTATTTTTAAAATTATTCATCT